AAAGTAGTGACTGCTTTGGACAAGACTTGGCATCCAGACCACTTCTTCTGCGCTCAGTGTGGAGCCTTTTTTGGTCCAGAAGGTACCAGCACAGTCTTTGGCACGTGTTGAACTAGAATGCTTTCATTATTATTATGAAAAGAAGAGTGCAGTGTGAATCGGTGATTCTTTGCTTCTCTTCTAGGTTTCCATGAGAAGGATGGAAAGGCGTACTGCAGAAAGGATTACTTTGACATGTTTGCCCCTAAATGTGGTGGATGTGCCCGTGCCATCCTTGAGAACTACATTTCTGCTCTTAACTCGCTCTGGCACCCTGAATGCTTTGTCTGCAGGGTGAGTCACCGGGTGTATCTGCAGTGTGTTAGAATCAAGAGAAGCCTCTCCACAGAGCACTTTTGTCATTAAAAACATCTGCTGTGTCTTCCAGGAGTGCTTCACGCCATTTATAAATGGCAGCTTCTTTGACCACGACGGCCAGCCATACTGCGAGGCTCACTACCACGAGCGCCGTGGCTCGCTGTGCTCTGGCTGCCAGAAGCCCATCACCGGCCGCTGCATCACAGCCATGGGCAAGAAGTTCCACCCCGAGCACTTTGTGTGCGCCTTCTGCCTCAAGCAGCTTAATAAGGGCACCTTCAAAGAGCAAAATGACAAGCCCTACTGCCACGCCTGCTTTGTTAAGCTCTTCAGTTAGACTCTGTGCCTGTGTGCCAATGTGTGTGTACATGCGTCTACACGTTTAATGTCTAAATGCACATGTGGATGTATGTGCACTTGTATGTCTATGTGCATCTATGAGTCAGTGGTTTTTCAGACAGGAGGCGTTAAGGTGAGAAATGTTTCCTGACTCTTAACTCCTGATACTGGAGGGACTTTCCGGGTTGCCCAACCTCTTAGGGTTTGGCCTTTTACACTTTTACTAAAGAGATTTTTAACAGAGCCCAAAGAGATTTTTATTTTACTCCTGTGCTTGACAGGATAAGGGAAATTGTTTTTTTTGGGGTTTTTTTTTAAATTTCCCCTTCTGTGTGTGTGTGTGTGTGTGTGTGTGTGTGTGTGTGTGTGTACATAAGTAAGCATATGAGAATCAAGATAAGAGCCCTGATTTGCAAATGATTTTCTGCCCCCGCTGCAGGACAACATCCTGCATCATGTGGCAGCGAATCTATGTTGGCTAGTTTAATGCAGATATGTAACAGTTGCTTGATTGCATGGACCACGGAGAGTTGAGTTGCGCAGTTTAAATGTATGTGGAGAGTTGAATACACAGTGCTTGACTAACGAGTGTTTAAAAAAAAAAAGTATTTTTCTAGATTTGGAAACTATTGAGGTGCCATTTAAAATAACTATGAAAACTCCCCATACATAAATATGTATATGGAGCGCATATGTACACTGAGACACACACTGAACCATTTCTCCTTTACTTGTTTAAAATACTCGTCCAGTCTCAGCACACGCCAACAGCAGCTCTTGATGAGACCGTCTTCAGGTGCATTTTCTAAGTTGGTCCTCCTGACATGAGTTCTTGTTTTTTCTACAGTTTTTCTATGGAAATGAACCCAGGTGTTTTCACAGTTTAAACATAGGTTACTCACATTTCTGCTCACATTTCTAGCGTGATTATTTCCCAATAAAAGTGAAATTAAACATTTCATTTGATTTCACTTATATATTATATTCTAATTATATACATTTGAATATAATCATATTGGATCTGTTTTTGGAACTGGTGCAACCTCGGTGTGTATGTGTTCTTTACGTAAACAACTTTCAGATGAAATCGAATGACTACAAAAATAAACATGGATCAGTGAGGACGGTATAAATAGTTTGGCTGACATTGTGAGAATTTTTATATATTTTTTTAATTTATGAGGAAAAAAATGCCAAAACAAAGCTGATTTCACAATAAATGAAAGCAAATTTTATTCAAAATAAACAATGTCTCATTTACACATTTTGCTGTTGCTACTAACGTACATTTATCACTGTTTTAAATCGCATTAATAAGGCCGGGGTAAAGATTTAAGATGTTTGTCCTTTTTATTTCAATGCATGCTGACTATATGTGGAGTTTGATCAGCACCAGCTGCCAGTTGCTGTTACAATCAGAATCTAAATTTGTATACGTGTGAAACGCTCGAGTCTGTGACACAACTGTGTTTTGTCACAGTTTTGATGGAAATTTATATATTTTTGAGCTGCAGAGGCTCGGCCTGATATGCAAAGAGCTGGCTCTGTTGACATGTAGCCTGACAGTAGTTTACCCTGGTCTCATTCCTTCACACACACGCACGTATACCAGCTTGGATTCCAGTGTGTCAGTATTTTCTTCAGTATTTTTTTTTTTATATGAATTGTTATCCTGCTGTCGGAGTGATATTGCTGCAAAGCTCACAGATGGAAGTTTGATGTGAGCGTTAGCTGGACAGAAGTCACAACATGAAACCAAGCCAGGGCCAAGCCTTTAGCAAAATTCACTTAATGACTTTTAGCAGCTTTTTTGTTTTGAATTGTATCTTTTTTTTGCCACATAAAGATTGTGGGGTTTTTTTCTTTTTGACATTAATCTCTATAAATTTAAAACTATTAATACACGGTATCCATATCCAGATTGTTTTTACTTTGAGAAAATATCTCTTGTGCCAAATGTGTCAATGCAATAAGGTCTTATACACTGTGGAGTTCTCAGCCTTTTCCTGTGATTCAACTCCTTTTGGGCTGAACTCTGGGAGGGCTTCATCTGCTGTGGTGCATCTTAACCCCAAACTATACACTGTAACAGACAAACCGAGGTGAAGCCTCCTGTACCGAGTCATTCAGCAGACACTGTGGTGTTCACCTGTAGCAGATTGAGAGTACTGGATGTAGCAGGGGCAATGTCGACGTTCCATTACGGGGTTGAGTCTTCAGTTAAAATGAGAATGCCTCATAAAAAGAAAATGAATTCTGCTCGTGTATATTTGTCTTCTTACAGGTATTGCCTTATAGTTTTTGCTTCTTTCAATGAATTCATGAGAGAAATTTAAGCTTTTTACTGTTAATGCGGTTAAATCGACTTTGCTTTTTAAATGGAGACCTTCATGTGATCTTTTCTCTTTGTGGGTGGGGCGTAAGCCTATGTGGGTCCTGATTCTTCTGCAAATAAAATATTAAATATTTATTTCTGGCCTTGTTTTTTCATTTTTACATTGTGTGCACAGTACTGTGCAAAAGTATTGAGTCACTCTCAATTTTATATTTTGCTCTCAAGGAGTCAGACTGGTGTTTTTCTTTGTTTGTTTTTTTTAAAGTCTTGTCTAAAGTAGTAGTTCTCCAAGATTTCTGAAGGTCTTTCAGTTTGACTTTGGCCATTGGCTTTTTCCTTCCACTCATTCTCAGTCTACTCCTTGCCTTTGACCATTTTCAGAGGAATTATTTCTTTTTTCTATTGTTTGCTAAGCCACTTAACACCGAGCTATGAATCATTCATGCTCCTGGCTCAATAGATAAACTAATGTATCTTTAGGAACTGTCTTGTTGGTCTCATCAGAAATTGTATCAGTGGAAGGGTGACTGTCAAGAAGCCATTCTTAAAGAAGGGAAATGGCAAGTAAATCAGTATTGATCTGATGGAGTGATAAATCCAAATTTTACATTTTTGGTTCAAATAATCAGTATGAACAGAGGTAAGGAAAGAAGTACAACAGTGAGTGTCTATAGCAGGGGTGTCAAACTCAAATACACAGTGGGCCAAAATTCAAAACTGGAACAAAGTCGCGGGCTAACATTAATATTTATTTAAAAAAATACTTCCTCCAGATATAAGAATGAATCTTTGCTTATGGACTCAAACAAGTTTTGCTGAAAAACTGAATATGGAACAAGCAAAGCTTAATACTAAACAATATATATATTAGCAGTGTAATACCAGTAGGCCAGCTCTAATAGTAATTTGGTATGGCTCCACGGGCCAAATGTAATTAAGCTGCGGGCCAAATTTGGCCCATGGGCCAGAGTTTGACACCTATGGTCTACAGCCTTCTGTAAAACATGGTGGAGGCTCTATCATGATTTGGGGCTGCATTTGGTGTTGGGACTCTTTTCAAAGCTGATGAATTATGAATGCAGAAAAGTACAGCTAGGTTTTGATCCATGCAGTACCATCTGGAAAGTGTCTGATTAGCAACAACTTTAATTTTCAGTATAACAGTGATCCAAAACAGTGTTAATGCAATAAAAGCATGCTTGGATAGTGTCCCATTATGTTGTTTTTTTTAAAAAAAACTTAAAAGTACAAACCCTTGTAAACTGAATTTTCATGTTTCAATGAATTGTCATTTTCCTTGTAACTTTTAAAAAAGATGAAGGTGGGTTTAAAATTTTGCATAGTGATGTACATTGTTCAGAAACTCAGGACTGTATTAAAGTTGGACTGTATATAGAGTGATGCAGAAGAAATTGTAGTCAACATTGTACAAGCACACACTGTGTACGTCTAACAATTTTTATTTCACATTATCAAAGGGATCATTAGAGTTGGTAGGAAACATTTATGCTGGTTCTACCCTTTCAGCTTACAACCTTAAAACAGGTGTATGTCTGCTGAAATAATAATTAAAAGAGAAAAATCTTTAAAAACATTTTAATTTATTCAAACCTTTATAAGAGGTTGATTCCCTGAATAAGTTAAATAATCCAAAATATGGCAAGGCATTTTGGATTCCTGAGGTGAAATAAAACTACCTCAAAAAGTTCAGTAAACATCGATTATGAGCAAGTCTCCGTGTTCCCACTCAAATAAAAAGTTACCAGATCACCAGGTTAATAAACGTGACAAACACAAGGACATGACAGTGCATCTCTCCGGTAAGGAAAGATTCTGATCTGAAGTCTGAACTCGGTGAGAGCTTGAAGCTTGCCAGTGAGCACAGACAGCTGTGGAGTGCTGTCCAGAATCTCCAAGTATCTAAGATGTTGCAGGTGACGAAGCTGCAAGAAATCTTGCTCCGGCACACGTTCATGGCGGATTTTAAGACTTTTGAGCTTTGGAAACAGCCGTGGGATTTCAGCGGTGCGAGTTCCCAGATGTGAGGGCCAGGTGTCTATATGGAGGTGGAGGAGATTTGGCAGCTGCACCGCTATGGCAGCCATGTCCTTTGAAGTGATTCCTGCAACACACAGTGTGAGACTGGTCACGGTGGCTGGAATGGAGGTGATGTACTTATTAACCGGGGGGCCCTTAACGATGATCAGGGTTGAGAGCTGAGGTAGGTCATGCAACCATGTTTTGAGGCGACAAGGAGACAGTGACCACATTTCTGGAATGTCGTGATGTGAGTGCTTGAAGAAGACAGACAGATGTTTCAGGCCAGGCAGGAACTGCAACCCGTGCGCCGGCAATGAAGGATCCATGCAGTCGATGAGCTCCAAACTGGCCAAAGCCAGTGCACCAGCGTCCCCTGAGGGACCTGGACTTGGCTTAGGATCACTGTGACGATAGGTACACAATATATGCACACCTGACAAGGAGAGATGCTTCAGTTTAGGCAGGCACGCGAGTGTGGAGTGCAACATCCACATAGTTTCTCCAACGATGCCCACCTGATGACAGATAAGAGAGTCGAGGTTTTTAAACTGGGACAGCACAGAAATGAATTTACTCACTGATGTGGTAGGGAACATAACGCCACACATGCTTAAGTAAGTCAGCTTCTCGGGAAGAAACAATGGGAATCTGGAAATGTCTAACAAAAGATCAGAGCAACTGCTTCTTAAAACCAGACGTCTCATATTTGGGAAGTCCTTCAAGCAGCTGAAACACTCCTGGGAGCTTTGGTCCATTACCACCGTGGTGAGGATAGGAAGGAACAGAGCGAGCTGTTTCCAGTGTTTCACTTTGGTGCTCTTCATCACTGCGCTGGAAACTTTTCTATGACGAAGAGTGTCCCAGAACTTCCTGTTGTATGAGCCGTTTTTAAAATCCAAAACCACTGTCCAGTTTTTCCACAGAGATCGGTGATCGACAATTGTCTTAAAATACTTGCAGGTTGCCCGGACGTTTAACTTTTCTGTCGCTGACAGATACCCAAAGACGTTATTCCAGACCTCAGGAGGCAGCTTCGAAGGGTTCTGTGCCATCACTTTGCTCTGCGGGCAGATGTCTAAGCGGGCTCGATAACACCGTCACACTAATGCAGTCCCAGAACTCCTTCAAGTAGAGTGCCACAAACCACGCTTTCTGCACGAAAACTGCCACGGAAGTACTAATAGTGACTTTAAAGTGATTGACACAGAATTCACCCAATAGTTATGAAGGTAACGCCCATAGCTGAGTTGTGATTGGTTATCTTTTTTAATACATATCCCTCCCGCGCCTGTCCTCTTCCTCTTTCTTTCACGCGACCCTACTGCGAGGTACGGTTTTTTCCCCCTCGCTTGTTAATAAACCGAAATGCTCGCTCTTTATAGGATTAGGCCAAATATTAGTTTTGTATTCGTGCGATAAACATTTAAACCACTTAACGGGATATATTTTGTATATTTTAAACATTCAATAGGTGTCATTTAGCCAAGCGAGGCCTGTTAATAGAGCGCTAGGGTAGCTAAGGGTAGCCGGCTAACCTTAACTATCGGCCACATGTCCGGAGTGTAAAGTATTGACCAATTTCCAAAGTACCGTTAATATCCTTGTTTTTCGTCCTTTATTTACAGATCCAGCCTTGTCTTTAAACCAGCTGTGTAGCGATCCTTGGAAGCACTGCAGAGATGCCCAGGGAAGACAGGGCCACGTGGAAGTCCAACTATTTTTTGAAAATCATCGTGAGTACCTTTTAACATAAATGCACTAGGTCTTTGTTTCTATAGCATGGACACCATAATGAAATTTATGTGACGCACAGTGGTGTATTTACAGCAACTTTTGGATGACTATCCAAAATGCTTCATCGTGGGAGCAGACAATGTGGGCTCCAAGCAGATGCAGACCATCCGTCTGTCCCTGCGTGGGAAGGCTGTGGTGCTGATGGGTAAAAACACCATGATGCGCAAAGCCATCCGTGGCCATCTGGAGAACAATCCTGCACTGGAGAAGTGAGTTTACTGGCAACCTTTGTTTTATGATGCATTGAATTATCAGTTTCTGTGTAGCAGGTTAGTTACGGTGCAGCTTGTGTCGTGCTGTATTGTCGTTCCCCCTGCTAAAATTAACCTGTTTCCAGCTATCCCTGTCTGTCTACACCCCTCGGACAGCCAGGGACGCAAGGTCTCAGACATCTGATAACTGCTCATGTTGGTAGAAATGATAATCTGCTTGTGTAATTTAAGTTTATGCTGGGATTTCACAGGCTCCTGCCCCACATTAAGGGTAATGTGGGCTTTGTCTTCACGAAGGAAGATCTGACTGAGATCAGAGACTTGCTGCTGGCCAACAAGGTGAGAGCCCTTTAATAAAAAAGCTTATAGATAATTTAGATCATGTCAAAGTGCAGGATAAGTTACAATGCAGCTTTTGCAGTACTGCATTGTCGTTCCCCCTGCAAACAGTAAATTGTTTCCTCGCTATACCTGTCTGCCTGCATCTTTTGGCTGCCAGGAACGTAAGGTTTCAGACACCATAACCTGAGTAGTTAAGATCTTAAAGATTTGGTTCTAACAGAGTGGTCTATTAAGGGTTACCCTCTCTTGTATCCCAGGTACCTGCAGCTGCCCGTGCTGGAGCCATCGCCCCTTGTGATGTGACAGTGCCGGCCCAGAATACTGGTCTTGGTCCTGAGAAGACCTCTTTCTTCCAGGCTCTGGGTATCACCACCAAAATCTCCAGGGGAACCATTGAAATCTTGGTGAGTTCGATAATTATACTGTTTTACACACAGGTATTACTCACAATGCTAATGTGTACTTTAAAAAGGGTAAGATTTGAAAATCTCTGCTTCCGCTAATCACTCTGTATGTCTTTGTCCGCCAGAGCGATGTCGGTCTGATCAAGACTGGAGACAAGGTTGGTGCCAGCGAGGCCACACTGCTAAACATGCTGAACATCTCTCCGTTCTCCTATGGACTCATCATCCAGCAGGTTTATGACAATGGCAGTGTTTACAGCCCAGAGGTGCTCGACATCACAGAGGCTTCTCTACATACCAGGTTCCTGGAGGTGAGAATTGGCTGAAATAATTTGGCATGAGT